TTAATTGTCCCAGTTTTTTGAAAAAAAAATTGATAAAATAAATAGGAATTTTTTTTAAATCTACCCACCAAATACCAAGATATCTTACAAAATATGTTACTGAAAATTATATTCCTTTGGACAGAGCACCCGCATGTAAGGGTATGACTCTCCACGTGGACAGAAAGACCTCATGTAATGAAGGAAGAAGAGAAGAAGAAGAAATAGCAGCATTACCCAACTTGAACTGGCAGGTTGGGTCCCCAGAGGGCAGCTACTCCTACCCACAGATTGTTGTTCTTCCTTTGCTCTGGAAGAGGACAAAAGATATCACAAGGATGACATCTTGACTTTCACATCAGCCTCACTCTGTCCTCCAGAGTCATTGGAGTCCAATGGCAAGACAAAAGTCAAGATGACTGGCAGTGGCCCAGGATGCAGCAGGAGGGGATTGTTGACTATCTTTTATTATATGTGAATTCGCTTCTAGTTCTGTCATCAGCCCTTCTGACTTTGAAGCCAATCAGAAAACTCCTTGTCAACACATAGCACTAGCCCTTCTCTTGACCAGGAAAAAACTCTCACATGTTGGACCAATACAAGAAAGGGAATATCACAGACGCTGAGGACTGGGTTAACACTGGCCAGTTCCCCATTACATGTGGGATGAGAGAGAATAAAGTGTCAAGAATGATTTCAAGGTTTCAAACTTAGGTGACTAGAAGGAAGGTGGTGCCCCCAGGAAGAATAGAAAAGTTTGGAAATGGGATGGGTTTGGGGGAAAAGTTCTGTTTTGAATATGTGGAGTTTGACATACCTATGGGACATCAAAATGCAAAATAGACATTTGGTGTTGGAGCTCAGTAGAGAGACTAGGGCAGGATATGTGGATATGTTGTACCCTTCTCCCCCCACAGAATGTAACCTCCTTGAGGACTTTTCTTTTTTGTCTCTGTATACCCTAGCATCTAGCACAGTATGTGGCAGGTAGCAGGCACTTAATAAATGCTTAATGATTAAATGGTTTATTTATATGCCTTATACACATTTGTTTATATTCTTGTTGCCAGTTTTAGGCCTGTTTCTTCATCTGTAAATTAAGGGGATTGGACTAGATGATCTCTAAGGTTACTTCCTAGAAGCCCAAGAGGATGTCAGTCTACCTTAGTCTTCTTGTACACAAGATAGCTTTAATATGTTATTTTAAAATAGTAAATCCTTCAATGCTAAGATCCTACTTGGCCTACTTCCATGCCCATGACTTCTGTGAGCACTCTATTAGTAATGACTCTAGTGATAACACTGCCTTCTCCAAACACTGTCTTCCTTGAACTTCATTCTATAAGCAACTTTTCATGAAATTAGAACATACAGACTTTCCATTTTAAACAATTAGTTTCCCCTCATTCCCTTCCTAGCAATGATAAATTCTTTGTCCCACAATTTATAGCCAGAAGTTAAAATATGGAAAATCCATCCAGTAAATATATGCCTTCTTAACTCACCTAACATCTTGTGTGATGATGGAGTTTTATTGCCTGTTTTGTGTTCTTGTGTTTGGGGAATTGTATAAGAAATCTCTTGTGCAAAGACTAATTTTACGAACTGAAGTCATTTTAATTTTTTGAAAGAATATAATTGATTTACAAAAAATATTTGAAAAGCAAAGTATATGGAAGACTGGGATAGGAACAGGCTCTTTTAGTTTTCCCTTTTCACTTGGATCACTTTGGCAACTCCAGCATTGTGACTTGTTATGGCAGACATTTTTTGTTTTGGGGAAATAGGAGCTGAGACATAAAATTTCCAGTGCAGCCTTTTAATAAGTAGTATCTCTCCAGCAGAGGATGGGCTTGTGCAAAAAAAAAAAATCCAATTTAGGCCTTCAGCAGGATATTTTCTGGGTTAATCATTTGTAAAGAGTCAAACTCACCCAGCCAAACCATGCAATAACAATAGTCTCTAGCTTGTTTTTTTTTTCATCTCACATGTGGTTTAGCTTAAGTAACTTGACATATTCTTTCATAGGATGATAGCACCTGATTTGTTGGGCATTGGTAGAACACGAGGTTTGAATATATGGATTTTTCAGACAACTGAAGCTTAATCATTTAGGTACCAGAGCTTTTACATTTGAACCACTTTTGAGAGAAATATCCCTAAAAACATTTGCAATGGGACTATAAAATAATACAGGGGATCTCAAAAGTCTTAGTATAGTTGTAATCTATTAAAGCATAGTAGCTATTAATCCTTAAATCTGCACTAAGACTTTTGGTTGATGCTAAAATACAAATATAGTCATTTATGTATATTGAAACAACTATGCTAGCACTTACACGTGCAAATAAGGATTATTCTTCAGAGTCATTCTCTTGGGAAGCTATATCCTTGTTCTAGCATGCCTGTCTTTCGTAGTTCTAAACCATAGGTTCTTAACCTGGCTTTTTAAAAAATATTTTAATAACTATGACAAAACAATTGGCTTCCTTTATAATCTTATGTATTTTATTTGATGCATTTAAAATCCTTATTCCAATAGTCCACAGGTTCATTGGAAGGCCAAATGTGTCCCTGGCACAAAAAAAGGAATAGAATCTCTGCTGTAAACCTTTTTGGAAATTGCCTTCAGCATCAGTTTATAAGCCATGTAAGGAAATTAATCTTGTTATTTTATAGCAACACTGTCTTTTAAAAATGATATTTATTACTAAACTTGATCACCTAGCTTATTTGCCAGTCGTGGCTCTGAATGACTATTGTTTCCAAAACTGAAGTTTAACTCCAAGTATGAAAATTTACCACCATTGAGAATTGGTTTTTTTAAGTGCCACAGTTTAAGAGGCCATTGCAAAAGGTTATCTCCTAAAATGTTTTGAGCAATGGCAGCATCATTTGAATGAGAGGTACAGCCACTCAGGGTAGTTATTTTGAAGAATTATTATCATTTGAATATGCACATTCATAGGGTTGTAGATTTAGAGCCAGAAGTGACCCTCACAGTTATCTTGTCTGACTCCCCCACTTTTCAAAAGACAAAAGTCAATTTTATTACCTTTATAGCCCTACCCTGTATACTCTACATTTCCTCCTTTAGTAAAAATAATACTGAACATAATTTAATCTTGGGGCCATTATAAGCTATTCTTGTACTGTGTTGAAGTAGGGATTCTCTCACGTTACTGGGGGTGTTTAAGATTTCACTTGTTCTTAAGTTGATTTCCCCTAGATTGTTCTCTTGAGTTCACAAGATCATAGATTTAGAACTGGAAGGAAACCCTATCATTTGACAGAGGAGTAAACTGAAATAGAGGTGAAGTTATTTGTTTGACTCATGTACAGCCCTTTTCCATTGTACCACTCTGTGCCATAGTTGGTGATGCTGCATCTCCTTGCTTATGCTGGCTTGATTATTTTCTGTCACTTTTCTGCCACTGCTGTCCATTGTTCTCTTGCCTCCTCACCCTTCTTGCCCCTAATCTTGTTGTTCACCTTCGCTCTGAAGTGCAGGGGAATCAGAAGCCAATTGCTGTGCTTAAAATATTATATATTCTATATGTCCGAGAAGGGAAAGGGTGGCTATGTAACTGTGCCATGAAATGAATCCTATGGGTTTTGGGACTTATTCTGTTCAAAGGGTGTTAAGGTTGCTGGAAGTCTGAACACTAGATAAGTGTGTCAGTATTGCTGTTCTGTATTCATCTGTCTCAATAATTGGGAGAAAGCCTAATGATAAATGTATGCCAAGATGTATAAATTCTAGTTCAGAGTAAATTTTTTTTTATTAATGTTAATTCATTGTAAGATGGTGAAAAGGTAGCTAGCCCCTTACAGATTCTTCAGATGATTCTTCATCATATGAATAGGTTACTCAGTTCAGTTAAGTAACTATTTATTGAGTAACTACTATGTGGTATATTTTTCATTAAGATTCCCCCAGTTGTTAGCACCCCCTAACTTTGCATTTCTATTCATTTTATATGTAATATATATTTACCTATCTGAGAAAATGTTGAATCCCCCCAGTAGAATGTAAGTTCCTTAAACTGTCTCAATTCTGTTTCCCCAGTACTAGCACATATTAGTCACTTAATAAATTCTCATCAGTTGTGAAGAAATGTTGCCATGAATCATTGCATACTCGTCACATATCTATAGGAATTAAATCTATATCTTTCAGCTTTGGGTATCTTTCAGCGTAAAAATGACTAAGGACTGAATAAAAGAATTTGTAATTCTCTTATACCTAACGGAACATGCAATATGACTTAAAACCGGTAGATGAGACAGAAGGAATAACAATAAATAACTTGTCAAAGATTATGTGAGAATGCTAGCCATCATATCCCTAGACATTGGGACTCCCTTGATATGGTGGCCTTTCTGTTCTAATTTTCTTTTTATTCTTTGACATGAAAAGAATTTCCAAACAGAAGATATGCATAGAAAAATGCTTATTGCTCTAAATTTTTGAGCCAGAATTAGACTAGGATCTTTTATTCCTCTGCTAACATGGTCAGAATTAATTCCAAGGTACTTAAAGAATTTTTTCCCAGGGTTGCTGCATGCAAAGTTGTAAGAGTAACATGAAAAAAAAAACAATTGTTCCAGTCAAACGAACTGAAATGATAGATTGCTAAGTTACCCATGTGTATATTGTGCTGTAGTATCTGCAAGTCATGGGATCATAGATTTAGAACTAGAATCTTAAAGGTTGTCTAGCCTCCTCATTTTACAGATGAAGAAATGAGAGGTCAAGTGACTGGCACATGATCACTAAGAGAATAAGTAGAAGAGCTGGGATATGAATCTAAGTGCTTTGACTCCAGATCTAGCCCTCCTTCTAACAGTGTTCTACTGTCTCAGCAGAATCCTCATAGCCAAACTGCTTAACTAACTTCCTTTTAAAATGTCATGGAAATTGAAACCAGATTATAGAGTGTATCCAAGAATCTATACTATGTCTGTGAATTAAATAAATACTTTTAAAGAAGTTAATTGCTTGTTTTCTTTGTCTTTAGGTTTAACAGGGAAAATGTACACTCTTCAGCCAATTGAGATTCAGCTCTTGGAGAATACTTCTTTGAACCTCATGGATTAGCTGGAATTTGGACTGTGAAGTCCTTGCTGAGAAGAGCTTTCAAGCTTTGATCACCTGAACAGACTCTAGCAATGGCCAGCAAACGGAAATCTACCACTCCTTGCATGATACCAGTAAAAACTGTGGTGTTACAGGAAACAGAAGCAGACCCTGTTGAAGGTTTTAATGAAGGAACTCAGCAAGAGTTACCTCCTGAAACGCCTACTGTTAATGATGCTGTTAACAACAACAATAATAATAATGGAACACTGTCTAATGGGCATCGAAGTACTTTGGATGGTGATTCTTACATATGTAAATATTGTGATTTTGGGTCTCAAGACATGAATCAATTTATGGGGCATATGAACTCAGAACACACAGACTTTAATAAAGACCCCACTTTTGTATGTATTGAATGCAGTTTTATGGCAAAAAACCTCTGAAGGGCTTTCACTCCACAATGCCAAATGTCATACTGGTGAAATCAGCTTCATTTGGAATGTGGCCAAACAGGACAATCATATAACTATAGAGCAAATCATCTCTGATAGCACCAGCAGTCATGACCTTTCAGGGGAGTCCTATGAAGAAGGAATAGATGGACAAGCTGAAATTATCATTACTAAAACTCCAATTATGAAGATAATGAAAGGGAAAGCTGAAGCCAAAAAAATTCACATGCTGAAGGAGAATCCATCTGTTGGAGAGAATTTACTAAGTCAGCCATCCGGGGAGAACTTAGTTAGTCAGTCAGTTGGCGAAACTGAGATGAAAGAGAGTGATCATTCTTTCACCAATGGATCTGCTCCAGGCAGCCAGGCAGCCAGCAACCCTGTGAAAACTTCACATGTTGCCAATGGTCCACTAATTGGAACTGTGCCTGTTTTACCTGCTGGCATAGCTCAATTTCTATCTATTCAACAGCAACCCCAAGTGCATACACAACACCATCACCACCAGCCACTGCCCACATCCAAGTCACTTCCCAAAGTGATGATTCCACTGAGCAGCATTCCAACATACAATGCAGCCATGGACTCAAATAGCTTCCTGAAAAACTCTTTCCATAAGTTCCCTTACCCAACCAAAGCTGAGCTTTGCTACTTGACTGTTGTGACCAAGTACCCCTGAAGAACAACTAAAAATTTGGTTTACTGCCCAAAGATTGAAGCAAGGTATCAGTTGGTCCCCTGAAGAGATAGAAGATGCAAGGAAAAAAATGTTTAACACAGTTATCCAGTCAGTACCTCAGCCTACAATCACAGTTTTAAATACCCCTTTGGTTGCCAATGCTGGCAATGTCCAACATCTCATTCAGGCTGCCTTACCCGGTCATGTTGTTACAGGGCAACCAGAAGGTACAGGCGGATTGCTGGTTACTCAGCCAATAATGGCCAATGGGCTACAGGGGACAAGCTCCTCTCTCACCTTAGCCGTTACCTCTGTTCCCAAGCAGCCAGCTGTTGCACCGCATAACACTGTTTGCTCAAATACTGCATCTACCGTAAAGGTGGTAAATGCTGCTCAGTCTCTGCTCACTGCATGCCCAGCTATAACTTCCCAAGCTTTCCTAGATTCTAGCATCTACAAAAATAAAAAATCTCATGAACAGCTATCAGCTCTGAAAGGTAGCTTTTGTAGGAATCAGTTCCCTGGACAAGGTGAAGTAGAGCACTTGACCAAAATTACAGGCCTCACTACAAGGGAGGTTCGAAAATGGTTCAGTGATCGAAGATACCATTGCAGAAATTTGAAAGGTACTCGAAGCATGTTACCTGGAGATAATAGCTCTATGATTATGGACTCCACACCAGATGTTACCTTCACTCTGTCACCCAAAGCACCTGACCTAGCCTGTGTGACAACAGCAACGACACCAGGGGTTCATCACTCAGCCAAACGGCAGTCCTGGCATCAGACACCAGATTTCACCCCAACAAAATATAAGGAGAGAGCACCAGAGCAGCTCAGAGCCTTGGAGAGCAGTTTTGCACAAAATCCTCTTCCCCTAGAAGAAGAAGTAGACCGACTGAGAAGCGAAACCAAAATGACAAGAAGAGAAATTGATAGCTGGTTTTCAGAGCGGCGGAAAAAAAAGTCTGCAGAAGAGAACAAAAAATCTGAAGAAGCAGCTTCTCAAGAGGAGGAAGAGGCTGAAGAAGATTGTGGTGAAGATGATGCTGCTGATGAGTGGAGGGTTTCAAATGAGAACGGCTCTTCAGAGGCCCCAGGTAGTGATCATCCTCAAGTGGAGCGGAAAGTCAGCCCCATCAAAATCAATCTCAAGAATCTGCGAGTGACAGAGGCAAATGGCAGAAATGAATCGGTAGGACTGAGTGCCAATGACCATGAGGATGAGCAGGGTTTGAGCAAATCCCTGGAACAACCCAAGAACAAAGTGAATTATAAAAAGACAGCCCAGCAAAGGCACTTGCTCAGGCAACTGTTTGTCCAAACCCAGTGGCCAACAAATCAGGAGTATGATGGTCTCGTCTCCCAGTCTGGCCTGCCCAGGGCCGAAGTCGTACGCTGGTTTGGAGACAGCAGATATGCACTTAAAAATGGACAACTGAAGTGGTATGAGGACTATAAGCATGGTAATTTCCCCCCTGGTCTATTGGTCATCAGTCCAAGCAATAGAGAGCTTCTTCAGGATTACTATAAAACACACAAAATGCTGTATGAAGATGATCTTCAGAGCCTATGTGACAAAACTCAGATGAGCTCACAACAGGTTAAACTATGGTTTGCTGAAAAAATGGGTGAGGAAACCCGAGCTGTATCTGACACTTGCAGTGAGGACCAGTATTCCAGCACTGGAGAACAAGCAGGAAATCACAAAGGGACATGTGACACCTATTCAGAAGTGTCTGAGAACAGTGAGTCCTGGGAGCCCAGTGGCCAGGAGATCAGTTCAGAACCTTTTGACACACTGAGCCCTCAGACTGGAATCCAGCTAGGTAAGGAACAATGTATCACTATCCACAGTGGGGAGCATAAGAGTACCAAGCTTCTAGAGCACTCTTCTCAATTACTGTGGTCTGGTCATCAATACTAATGTGAATTTGATGACTGTTGATTTTAAGGCTTCTGGGCAGGATCTACAACCTGTTCCATGGGACATCTGTGGCACAGTGAGAAAGAGACAGAAGTCATGAGGATGAGTTAATGTAATGCTATAAGAGGGAGAAAGAGCCAACCCTTTATAGGGTTGTACTCATGCTGGAACAAGAACTTAATGTGTCTAAGGTGGTCTCTCCAACTGCCCTAGAAGTAATTTGTGAGTAGAAAGTGGCTCCCAGAAGTTCTTGAGATGTTGTGCTGATGTGGAGAAGTACATATGCCTTCGTGTTAGGTTTTGTTTTTTTAAGTGATGGAGGGAGAAAGGAGAAGGGAGGGAATTTTTAAAAATCAAACAATGGAAGATTAATTAGTAAGACATAAGGGGAAAAAAAGGACTTTTAATTGTCCTTATATGGTAAGTTTTGACAAATAAAAAGTTATGTACTGCCTTTTCTGCTGCCTTCTCTCAAACTTTTAGGTTTAAATTTATCCATTGAAGAAATGCTGTCAATAATGAAAAATCATTTACTATTTCTTAGAAGAGTATTGGCATTTGGTTTCAGTATTTTGAATCTCATGCTTTTTTTGTGGAACTGTATGTGTTATATTTTAAAGCAGAGGTGTCAAACTCATGGTCTGGGGCACAAACCAGATTAAAATGGCATTGGGAAAATAAAAATACAGTACAACATAGATAATGTTAACTTGTGGTTTTCTTAGTAAGTAGGCAGCCTCCTGGGATTGTTTCTAACTGAGTTTGATACCACTGGTTTAAAGTCTGTTTTGGAGGGACCTACATGATTAAAGAAGCGCATTTGAAGGGACAAACATCTCTCAGATTTCCAGGCCTTGATTATGCATTTGATGGGTTCCTAGGTCTTTTTCTGGGATCTTCTTCCCCTTTTCTTAAGCTTTCTTTTTGGTTTACTCTTTGTAAACACATATATTAAGAGATGTCCAAGGAGAGGTGAAACTCTGATGAGCCCATTCATCTACAGATATTAATTCTAGTGAGAGGTTTGGTGGAAGCCTAGTAAGATTTTGAGATTAGTTGTGAATGTGTTATTTTTGCTTTCCCTATATGCCATTACCACATGGATAATTTTGTGTCACTTATTTTCCTTCTGCTGCTGATCTTAATGTCATGTCCTTTTGAAAATTCAATTCAGAGAACTTTTGTTAAATGCCTATTATGTGCAATGCTGTGCTAGGTGCTAGCAATACAAAAATTACAAACTTGCCCTCAAGGAGCTTGTTCAGGGCTGTTAAGGGGTCCCCTGAACTTGTCTTTTTGAGTTGCCATATTTTCCAGAAACACTGGACCCAGAGCTTGCAAGAGGCCCTGAATGTGTCAAGGACGAAGCTGTCCCTGAGCTGGCATAATTTGTTGTTGTACCCCAAGCTGGATTCTCTGTGTGTCCTTGGGAGGCAAGACAGGTGCTAGCCAGTCTGTGCCAGGCTAGAATAATACTTGTGCAGCTGGGGTCCTTTGCAGATAAGCAGACCCTCCTATGTACATAATCTAGCAGTTCCCAAGGGAAAAGAATGAGGCTTTTGCCATTACCTTGCTCCTCCTCAGGGGGAGTAGTCTTGTCTTTTTTCCCACCTTTGCTGCACTGTTCCCATCCTGTGTCACTCTCCTTCCTGGTATCCCCTCCTCCCATTGTCCTGCTATTATAAAAATGTAAATGCCCTTAAAAACGGGGAACCCTTTGGGTTCCACATGCATGTTCATTTCTCTTGTAATAAATCTGGTTTTCGGGGCAGCTAGGTGGCGCGGTGGGTAGAGCAATGGCCCTGTAGTCAGTAGGACCTGAGTTCAAATCCAGCCTCAGACACATAACACTCACTAGCTGTGTGACTCTGGGCAAGTCAGAAAGAAAGAAAGAAAGAAAGAAAGAAAGAAAGAAAGAAAGAAAGAAAGAAAGAAAGAAAGAAAGAAAGAAAGAAAGAAAGAAAGAAAGAAAGAAAGAAAGAAAGAAAGAAAGAAAGAAAGAAAGAAAGAAAGAAAGAAAGAGAAAGAAAGAAAATCTGGTTTTCACATAAGTCTCAAGACATTGTGATTGCCTGTTGACAAGCTCAGATGCTAGTGGGATGAGGCAGGGCAGGATAATCTATATACAACACTACCCAGAAAAGTATAGTGCAGGGTGAGGTGTAATGGGGCAAGGGAGAGAGCTAGTGCTGTAGGAAAATGATAGAGAGAGAGAAAGAACAACACACTTTCATTTGGAGGAGTCAGAGAAAGCTTCAAGTGACAAATGGCCCCTGAGCTGCTGAGAAAGAAGATAAGGATTTTAAGTGCTAAGAAGATAAGGGAATAAGAGATTGCCTTCCAGGTGTAGGGAATGCATGTTCATGGAAGTAGGAGACAGCATGTCAAAACCTTAGAGGACTAGGGTAGCATGGGCTTTCGCCAACCAAAATTATTTTTTCTTCATAGGTAACAATTGATAATATGAGGTTGTGATATTTGGCCTTGTTTTGTAGGCTTGGATTTACAAGGCAAGCCATATATAGAGGTTGATTATTTCTTCCTACGCCAGGGACCCTTAACCTAGAGTTCATGTACTTGTTTTTTAAAAAATATTTTTGTAATTATATTTCAGTATACTTAGTTTCCTTTGAAAACTGAGGTATTTGTGCATTCATAAATATTAAATATTATTCTGAGAAGGGATCCATGGGCTTTTGGCAATATGTCAAAGTGGTCCTTGACATACAAAACATTAAAAAAAAAACCTAAGACACACTGTGAAGGAAGGAAGAAGAAAGGAGGGAGGAAATTTTAAGTGATATAAATTCCAATTTACAAGTTTGGATACCTCCTCCACTAAATTTTAGCTATTTTTACTACTTAATATAACTCTGGTTTTCTTTGCTGGGGATAAGAGAAAACTACCATAATTCAATTGAAATTATTCTTAAAATCTGAAACCTCTGTGCTATTCATGCTTTTGGACGATGAAATGCCCAAGTCCTTGGCTTCTGAACAAGAGTTTATTAAGCATCAACTCTGTTCCAGGAACTAGGCTAGCTGCTGGAAATACAAAGACAAAAATGAAAACACTTCTGAGCTTAACATGCTCACATTCTGTGTGCTTTGAGTGACCCTCTTTGAGGACCCAGGTAAAGGTAGTACTGCTAGTTAGTACCTGTATCTTTTTCAACAATCTATCTTTTGGAGAGAGAACTAGCTGCCTTTCTAACCTCAGGGATTTGAGTAACTTGCTGACAACTACTATTCATTCAGCATTCACCTTCTTAACCAAAAACCAGAAAAGCTTGACTAGACTGCTCTCACTCCCCTAGGAAATCTTGAGATTTTATTTTATCTAATCAAGAAAGTTTCTGTAACAATACTCCCTCCTCCTACTTGAGCAACTCAGCTTTGTTTTAAGTTGTTTTACATAGAATAATAAGATGATTCTTTACAGTAGAAAGATGAGTCAGAAAATCCTGGGTTCAAATCCCACCTTTGATATTTACAACCTTTGTGATTTTGGACAATTCATTTAACTTTTTATTTAACTTCACAGCTAGCTGGCACAGTTGATAAAGTGCCAGGTATAGAGTCAAAAAGGCTCATCTTCCTGAGTTGAGTTCAAATCTGGCCTCAGACACTTACTTGCTGTATGACCCTGGGCAAATCACTTAACCCTATTTGTCTCACTTTCCTCATCTGTAAAATGAGCTGGAGAAGGAAATGGCAAAACACTCCAGTGTCTTTGCCAAGAAAACCCCAAATGAAGTCATGAAGAATAGGACACAACTCAAAAAATGACTGAACAAACACAACTTCTCTGGGGCTTAACGTTGTCATCTATGAAATAAAGAGGTTGGATTAGATGACCTCTAAGGTCATTTCTAGCTAAGTCTATATAATACTATGAATAATAGCTAACAGTTATATAGGTTTTAAAGTTTGCAAAACACTTTACATATATTATCCCATTTAACCTTCAGAAAAGCCCTGTGAAGTAGATGCTATTTTTAATCTCCATTTTATGGGGATAAATGAGGAAACTGAGGTGGAGAAAGATTAATTGACTTGACCCAGGGACAGAGAACAAGTAAATATCAGAGGAGGAATTCAAACTCAAGTCTTCCTGATCCCTCTGTGCATCATTCTTTCCACTAGACTCAATTGCCTATGAGCCTATCAATTGCCCAAAGGCTTTTTACCCTGATCTACTTCGGTCCTAAAATTTCTTAAATGGCCACCACCCTTTTTCTTTTTTTAAGCATGTATTTTATTGATACTTTTTTTTTCCTTTTTCACGTCATTGGCATTTCCCAATGACTGCTGCTCCCACAGAACCCTTCCTTGTGACAAACAAGTATAACCTACTTCAGGGTCACTTGACCAATAGGATAGCAAACTAGACTTTTTCTCCAGTCTTTACAACTTCTCATACTTGTCCAAAATATAAATTATGGACAAAAGATAAAGCAACTTCAACTCTTTCTAGGCTCTAGGACACAAAGAATGCTAATGAGGTAAAAATCTCAGTGAAAATTAATCCCTAATGCCAATGCCTAATGCCACAGCACTTCCTATTCCATTCCCCCAACAGGAACACTAACTGACTTATGGGTTTGCAACAGAGCTCAACCTTTCTCTCCTCCTTCCAGTGCCAAGGAAAACCAAAAAGCAGTTTACGCTGGCAGGGACAGCAGGGAGGCACAGCTCTGTACTGCAGCAGAATTCAGCAAGAGAACTGAAGAACAGAAGGAAGTAGGGCAGGACATGTGTGTGTGACTGTGTAGCACTCCACTAACCCTGAGGGGAAGAGTCTAGCATCCATCTGGGGCCAGTTCTGACCCCCTCAGAAATCACTTGTGGCAGAGACTGAGGCTTGTCCAAGTAGGAGGAGGCTGAGAGAGCCTTTAGATCAGCTTCTGGGGAAACTTCCATCAAAAGGGAAGGAGTCAGAAAGCGATCCATAGGGGAATATAAAGAAAGAAGATTAAAATTATCAAAAATCTCAAGAGGAAGAAAACTAAAAAACTTTGAACAGAGCAAGACAAACCCACAGAAAAGATATTACTAACAGAAGGGAATAAGACCTCCAGATCACCCAAAAGGATCCACATATCTATGAATAAATATTGCAAGGCAAAGGAAAATTAATACCTGGTAACACAGAGGACCCTGTAGATCCCAAGAGAGTATAGAACCTCAACAGGATGTTCCTGAATGATTTAAAAGAGAAATAAAAATTGTGAAAGCAGAATATATAGCCTGCAGAGCAGAAATAATTGGCAGAATAGAAAAACTTGCCATGGTGGTCTCACCAGAGAAACAAAAGAGAGAATAACTGAGTGGGAATGCAAATACATGAAATGAAAAACAATCTGTAAGAAAAGAAAAAACATTAAGGTTAAAAAAAAAAAAAACAACCATGACCTCCATTCAAGCAAAACGTATTAATCACCAAGATAAGATAGGTAGAGAATGGGAGAGGGGAAGGCAGCAAACAAGGTATGAGTACCTACTATGTGCCAGGTAGTGTTCTAAGTGCTTTATAAATATTATTTTATCCTTACAATAACTCTGTGAGGTAGGTGCTTTTATGGTCCCCATTTTACAGTTGAGGGAACTGACAGCAGTTAAGTGACTCAGCCAGGGTCACACAGCTAGTAAGTATCTGAAGCTGGGCTTGAACCCTAGTCTTTCTAACTCCAGGTCCAACACTTTATCCAGTGTGCCCCTGAGCTGCAGGATTGTAGGTCACCCAGAACACAAATCAAAAAAAAAAACAAACAAAAAAACCTGAACACTATAATGTGAGAAATAATAGAAAAAAACTGCCCCCAAAGTACAACTAATACAAACAAACCAATATACATAATGTTCCAAAAGTGCTTAAAATTGCATTAAGACTTTTGGGATACCTTGTATTGGTTATGACAGGCAAATCATACTTCATTTTATAGCTATTGCCCACCACCTGTCTTGTGAGAAGAGGAAGGCTTGTTTCATTCCTCTTAAGATTGTGTGCTGCATTCTTCAAAGTTCTGGTATTTTTCAGTATTATTTTCCTTACATTATTGTAGTCATTCTAGAGATTGTTTATATAGTTGTGCTTACTTGATTCTGCCTCAGTTCATATGAGTTTTCCCAAGTTTCTCTTTTGTACCTTTTGTTTTCTATTTCTTATGACATAGTAATATTCCATGTCATTCAAACACAGTAAGTTGTTCAGCTTTCTCCAATTGATGGGCACCTAGTTTAATTCCAATTTGTTCCTACCATGGAAAGTGTCACTACAAATAGTTCTCTATAAATGGGGGACTTTCACCTTTTTTTTCTCCGGATGTTTTAAGAGCATATGCATAAAAGGAATAGACAAATTTTAAAACATAAATTTTGCTGTGTTTGCTTCACGTAAAGTTTTTTTTTAATTATCCACAATTTTCAGTGGCAAGCTATTAAACCAATGGTACATGTATTATGGGGTAGCACTGAAAATGAACCTGTCTTTTTGTTGCCCACTTGTAATTACTGTGTGTTATTGTGACTATTAGTTACAACTACAAAATTATTAGCATAAGGAAGATTATGAATAATCACTGGGGACACTGCTTTTCCTAATCAAAGTGGCATGTTTTTGTGTGGCCTGAACACATTGTTAATACCTGAATCACAGTCTTTTTGCAAACACTATTGCAAAGTAAATGATAAACAATATTGGTGTGAGAATACAGCCTTCCTAGTGCTATTAGTGACGGTAAATGCATTTCATCTTCCTATTATAGCTTGAGTTTTGCCAGCTGTCCTTTGTGGAGTGAGTAAATGATGCTCGATAACTTTTCTAGATAGACAACCTTTCATGTAAACCTTTGATGTGGTAATAGTGAGTGTGCTTAATTGTGGTACTATTGCTGGCCCTGAGTCAACATGAAAGGATGTAGTGTTAAATGATTCTTTTTTTTTAAACCTCAAGTCTTAAAACTGAAAACATGGCAGAGGAGGAGGCCTTTTCTCCTTTCATCTGACAGGTTAGGTCTAAAATACTCAGTTTCCCTTGCAACTTCAAATCCAACTTGATGCTGGAAAAAGGTGACCTTTAAGGTCCCTTATAGTTCTATTTTTTTCTGTAATTCCCTGATTCCAAGTATGATTGTTTCAGCTTTCAAGACATGAGGAAATGAAAAACATGTTTATTATCTTCTAAACTGGAAGTGTATTACCTATACTTGTAATGCAAGTGTTGGTATCTTCATGGCATTTACCACTTGGGAGGCAATGTGGTGTATTAAAGAGAACTGGCTTTGGACTAAAAGAATGTGGTTTCAAATCCCACCTCTGACTCTTATTATCTGTATGACCTTGGGCAACTGACTTAATCTCTGTGGGCCTTCCTCCCTTTTCCAAATGAAGAGGTTGACCTCTGAGGTCCTTTACAGGTATAGATCTATGATCTATAGATCTGTGCGTAGTCCTCTCGATTCTGCTGTAGGCAAGAAAGTATATTGGGATGACAAGGGATATGTAGCATTTCATGGAAGGGTGGGGAAGGGGAGGTGCTACACTTTAATGGCCTAATTTTTTTGGGGGGGTCACAGGCCCCAAATGACTGCCATAGGCCAGGGCAGATAACATAGAAAGAATGTTACTGATTGTCATTAATCACCATAAGCTGTGTAAAGGTCTGTTTTGGGAAGGCCTTTTTAATCAAGATCTGCCCTGGTTTTTTGGTTTTTTTTTTTTAAAGGTACCTGTTTAATTCGCATTTAGGGCTGAAAATTGGGAAACAAAGATCAAGGCTACAGTAACAATCTGCGTAGAAGATTAGACTGCCTGCTTATCTTAGAGGAGTGTTGTGAGGAGACTGAGGATAGCCATGTGAGACAGCAAGTAAAGGAGGCCACAGCATGACTGTGGGTTGACCTGTGGCTGTCAGGCCAGAGGAGGCAGCATGCAGCTGTGTTCTGATTGCCATGTTGGGTTTAGCCAGCTAGCAGCTCTCCTCCCTTAATCTATAATTGAGCTGAACCTGGAAGTGGGGGCTACTTAGCGTGAAGGGAGCCTTCAAACAGCTCTTAACTTGAGAATGTGATGCTATATTTAAGATGCTCAAACTTTCACTTGTACATGTTTGAAGTCTGTTCTAATATGTATGTTATGTATCTTTTTTTTTCCCTTTCTCCAGAAGCAGATTGAATTTAAACTGACTGCTATGAAGGATCTGCCAAATGTAGGAAGATATCAAATGGAATGGGCTGGATCTGAACCTCTGCTGCAGGGGCCAGTTACAGTGCCTGCTGTTGTGAGACTTTTAGCCAAGCACACTGGGGAGAGGCTGTTGGGGAACTCACTGGTCGGCCCAGAGCTCTTCACAGCCAATTTAGGATGATATGCTGAGCTGGGCAGAGCAGGGTTCATGTCAGATTCTTCTTCCAGCAATATAGGACCTCTTCTTTGCCTTCCAGTGGATAAAATATTTCAGATTTCTTATTCATGTACAACAGAACCAACTTTTTAACATATACATCTGCCTATACACATTTAATAAAACATCAGATTACAAACATGTTCATTACATAGAAACTTCTGATTAGCAAAGCAGTGCATTTCCTTTTTCTCTATATATATTTAGTGTCTGTTCTCTGAAGGTTGATATCACTACATTTACTCCTCTCTAAGTCTTATCAGGGTGCAGTGCATTGAATCTAGAGAGCATGTCATCAGTACACTTACAACTTTATCTGGAATCCTTTCTATGGATCCCTTTCTGAAAATAATTCTGCTTTGTTAAGCAATCTCTGACCAGTAAGTTTATAAGCAGCAGTTTTCTTGTCTGAAGTTATAGTTGAATAACAGCCATTTTCCCCCAGGTTAAAAAACAAAACAAAATAAAACTTATTGGTTATTTGGTTTCCTTTTCATGAAAAATTCTAGATCAGTTATTAACTATTTTTCCATTACTGGGTTAAGTGAAGATGTACTTGATCTTGAACCTGGTATATGTATTCAGATGCCTACTACTGAAAGCCAGAAATGTTCCAGTATTAGATAAAAAGAGACAAAATCCATAAACAAAGCACAAAGCCACTATGTGTAGTACCTTTCACCTGAGGATTTCAAAGCACTTTATAAATGTTGATCTCTAAATCCTCATACAAACTTGGAAAGGATAAGATGTGGCAAACATAATCACCACTTTACCAGTAAGAAAGCTGAGAATGAGAAGAGATTAAGTGACTTTCTTAGCTGTCTGAGTTGAGAATAGCTCTCAAGTTTAAGTCAGTGGTATAAGGCTTCCCAATAAAATCATAAAACTTCTCATCTTGCTATTCTAATCATGAGTTTTCCTAGTCTTCTCGCTTGGTGAATGCACAAGATTTAAAGATTAAGGATGGAAATCATTATTAAGCAGTGATTTTTAAAATGTTCCCCTCGATTTGTAACCAAATGTGGTTTATTTAACTTTAATCTCTAGCTTATCATTTTTGCCTACCTTGAAACTTTGGTATTTTTGGAAAATCAGCTGAAATGATACCTTTTGAAGTTTAGAATAATTGTTTGAATGTACCATCTACCTTATTCATACAAAAATCCTCTAATATAAGAAGCAGCTTCCATGGGAAGATTTCTGATCTCATTTCTAGTATATCTCCCAGTGCAAGAATGGACTGGAAAGCATCTTAGACAATTTGCAAGACTAACCTGTCTGTGTTTATTAGCAACGTACACAGTTATTTCCAGAGAATTTCATAGACTGTCAGAGTTAGAAGGGACCTCAGAAATCATCCAGTTCCCTTATTTTACAGATGAGGAAATTGAAGTTCCAAGAGTTTAAACGCTTTGCCTAAAGTCATACAGCTAGCAGAATGGGACCTTGAGTCAGGTTCTCTGATGCCAAGTCTAGTGGTCGATACTATAGACACTATTCCATTTCCTTTGCCTTGACTTCAGTAAGGTAATGACTGCCAGCTCTTTAGGGTAGAGTTAGGGAGAGCAGGTGACAGGGCTTCAGGGTCTAGAGTAAACTGAGACACAGGAAATCCTGAAAAATATAAACATCTGTGGCTCTATGATGTGTGGCCAACTTAAGACAGGCAAGTAGAAGCTTAAAGAAAATTAATTATGTTGGAAATTGAGTGGCATGAACTATGGCTAGCTAGTAGAAATCAAGCATGCCCACCGCTCAGCCCTCAGTATCCCAAATAAACACTTTGAGGGCACACATAGCAAGTCACGTAGCTGAATTGGCCTATAGTACTGAAAAAGGTGCCTTTTCTGGGGGCAAGGGAAATTTTATTCTGTGGTCTGGGAGAAACCTCTCTTTGAAATCCGAAGGCCTTCCTACTACTTCTTCCAGACCCTAACCCCTCTAGCTCACCTCTTTTTCTTGAGAAAATGACCTGGGAGTTTTACCAAGACTTGCGTTCTGTCATTTTGCACCCTGTGTTGGATATGACAGTGGGGTGGCCCTGATGGATTGTGTTGAATATTACGTCAAGAGCATGGATTTGTGAGTGATAGCTTCCTCCAGAGAACAAATACATGACTTTTTTCTCTAGCGTTTATATACATACAGGTTAATTTATATATGCACATATACAGTACAAATAATCATTTGATATTACCTTGTAAAATGTACATGATATGTGCATTTTAGTAAATGAATTAACATAGATACTAAGGGAAAAAAACAGCTCATGCATTGGAAATGAATGTCTTTGTATTTATTTGTACACTGAACACAACTGGGGGAGAGGCAAAGAGAAGGCCAGTTTCAAAGTATCCCACTTAAGAATCTCACTTCCAAAGTGACAGCCCTTGAAACACAATCACTCCCATAGTTTCTTCATGTATTAACTACAGAGTTTTACTGGAGAATGTTTTCTTGGTTCTTTTATTAGAGGTCATATTAAATGTATAATCCAAACACTGTAATGGAAAAAATTAGTAATAGAAAATTGCAGTGTTGGAGCATATTCAGTCAGAGTTCACAGAATGCACTCTGGACATGAAAACTGTCCACTATACATGCAGGTCCACTTACATAAAAAGCAGTTTAGTGGAAGACTTAGGAGCTTTTTAATATTGTGAACTTTTTTCATACGCATTAGCCCTCTCAAATGGCTATGACCTAATGGCTGCACAGTCAGCACTGTGAGAGAACCAGGAAGGAAAACTGAAAGGGAAATCCCAGGGATGCAGACAAGACCCATGTTCTGCTCATGTCCTTGTATCTGAGTGTATATAAATATGGTTTGATATTTATTCTTGCAGATAATTTACATAAGCAAGTGATGAAGGAAGTAGTTTGATCTCAGATCCATGTACTTAAAATGGAATAAAATAAAAATATTAACTGTATGGGTGTCAGAGGCCCAGTGCTTTGGGTGTAAATCTCAGGAGATACCAAAACTGAGCAGAAAAATTGGAAGCAAAAAAAAAAAGGTTCATGGAGTGGACAGCTAGGTTTAATGGTCCTGGCAGCAACCATTGTGGTATTCTAGTACACATTGCCACAATTTTGCATGTAGCCAAAGTGTTATGTTGTCTTCTAAGTGAAGACAATCTTTTGAATTAGGAGTAGGAGAGAACTGGGACTTAAGTTGGTCTTTCTTGAGGAAAAAAGAATGTTTTATAAGCTGACTAACCTTTCACTTCCTTTTCCCAGTATGCACTTGGACTTTGGAGAGTAGTAAGATTATGTACATTTATGTTTCTTATTGCCTGTTTTTTTAAATGTTTAATTTTTTTACATGAAGATATAGATCGATTTTTATAGATGAAACCAGATCTGTTATGTTGAAGGAAATACAGGATAATGTGGTATGCTTTTCATATTTTTGATTACTTGTTTGAAGTTTTGATTGTAGAAAAGATTTTGTGTTTTAAGAGTTCTCATTTTTAAATAGGTTTTTAAAAAATAGATTACTGAAGTCTGATCTCTTAGCACTTTGACTTTTTTTGTTAGTTGAATGCACTAATAGTTAGACAGCTTCTGTGAGTGCTGCCTCATTTCTAATATTTGATCTCTTAATTCATACACTTAGGCTCTGTTTCTGATTTATTCACGATCTGCTTGATTATTTGCACTGTTTTCTAAGGACAAAAGAAGTCAGCTTAAGGTATTAGAGGGGATCTTTCCTTGGTTTCAAGCATGCGGACAGTTATTCCTACTCCCCTCTTGCCTGGGATTGTCATAGGAATTCAGAACATTTCTCCAGACTGGCATCCTGGCAAGTGGTAGGCTCACTCATCGAGTGAGCAGATGGTGACTAGCATTCCTCTTCCACTCTCCTCCAGCTTCTTGGACAGCACTCCTATCATCTTTCTCCTCTGGGTGTCAGAATATAACCTTTCCTTCAGTATGTGAATATTCTCCCAATAACCTGTCTTGGACCCTATCAGCTCTTATCTTCCTTCCTTCTTAATGGACCAAAAGAGTTTGGTTGAGGTTAGCAGGCAATAGTATTTTATTGTCAACTCAGGCAGTCAGTCCCCAAGGAATAGAAAAGGACTTTTAGAATGTTTTTATAAAGCACTGCAAAGCCCTTGACTGTACAAAAGCTATGTTGATGTAAAGCTAAGGGTGATACTTCTTTAATGTATGTTTAATAAATCCAGATTTTAGTGTATGGTTGGTTAAGTCCTGCCTGTACCATGTAGAGCAGAGGGCAGTGTTCAGGACTAAGGTAATTTCCCTCAAATGGATGTGTGTACTGCCAATAACTCATTAAGATTTCTGTAATGCACTAGTTATCCTATCTTGTGATTTGTCCAAGCAGTAATGCACGAAAATAATCATTCAGGTGTCATTCATAAGAAATAGAAAGAGTAGTCCACCTGGGAAGACTTCCATTAAACACACTGTTTTTCAAGAAACTGAGGATGTGGTACCATCCAGAATTCCATTGCTTTCACTCAAATAGCCTCATTTTTGCAGACCCTAGTTACTTTTCCAGACTCTGGTAATAAGGGTAATTGGAAGCCCAACTTCCTTGTATTCTTTTTGAATGCAGAGCACCCATTAGGAGCTTTTATTTGATAAGGCTGATAAATGTGTACAGGTAAATGAACACAAACCCAAGTATAAATAATACTCTGGAGCATTAATAATATTCAGATATGGCTAAGGACAACACCTGTCTATAGAAAGCTTCACTTTACTTTCAGAGAGCAGATATTAAAAACCTAGGCCCTGTCTTCCAAAAGCTAATATGTCATACATCCTGTTTTCTGTAGCCCATGTATAATTTGGCAAGTTGCATCCAGGTTGTAGAAAAATCATTAATAAACAGTGGGGAAACCTAAGATAATTGGGATACATCAGGGGATTACTTGGTTTATTTATGTAGTTATATGTGAAGATTAAAACCCAATTTTTAATACTCAGTTTCTGTTCAGATTATATCATGTCTTTCTCAGAGTCAGGCTAGTCATGTTAGCGGGAGGAAAAAAAAATCTACTGAGCACCTCCTGGCTAGACTATTGGTTGTTAATTGAAAAGGGTGTCCCATATAATTTGACCATCCTTAAACCTAGTCTTTTATGTAGGTTAACATAATTATTAGTTTTCTTCTAGGGATTAAAGTTGTTTTTCTCCCATTTATCAATTCAGCATATTCCCAGTACCCTGAGTGATTGAAGTGAATTGGTAACTGAATTTGGCTGCCACCTTTCTGTCCTCTCGGCCTGGGTACACAAAGCCCTGATCACCAAAAATAATGACCAAGTAGGAAATTTAGTGTGGTGTGGAAAGGATTACTGTTGTAAGGACTGACTTGCTGTGGATTCTTTATAACAGTACTTTTTTTGTATGAGTGAAGACTTGTAGGAAAGGTTATTTCTTAAATCAAAGCTTTGTCTTTTGGGGTCTGAAAATATATACATACATATATGTATATATATATATATATAGTTTGGCCTGGTCAAGGAGGCAACATTAAGCATTTGCATTAAAATATTTAATAGACATAGCCTTTTGGAAGGCTGTCTGCTTCCAAATGGCTTTGGTGGAATAACTCTTCTGGGAGAGGTTCGAGGGCAAGCAAGGACAAGTCGGAGATTATAATTAATCCTTGTTTTGGTGTAGTTTTCAGAAAAAAGGAGAAAATTAGGGGAGGAAGGGATAGAGGGGGGAGAGAAAGACTAGAATAGCTTGTCTTGGTTACTGCATTAAAAGCTTTTTCATCTAACTTTTTGTCCCTCTTTTGAAGGGATGAGCCAGGAAACTGAAATCAGCAGGAAAATCTAGGATAAAAGCTGTTCAGAATCACAAAATGTGGGGTTTTTCCCAAGTCAGGATCACATTCTTAAGTGTTAACTCTACTCACATGGTGCCTATTAACTCTATAATTTAATTTATATTTCAAAAGAATTATATCATCTCTGCCTCCTGCCTATAACACTACACCATGTTTGCAGTCTGCTGGAAAATGGAGGCATATCCTATTATAAATGGTAGACTAGAACCAGGAAGAGTGTGGTTTTACATCCCAAATACTTAACCTGATAATCAGCCCCACTGTTTTCAGGTGGGAATTAAAGAAGGGACACAGTTAATCTTGGGCAATTTGTAATTCCTGCTTTGTCCATAGGCAAAAGCTTTTTTCCGTTGTGCCAGGAAGAGTGGCCTGTACCATGACTGTTATTTTTTAAAAAAAAAAAAAAAAAGGAAAACCTGCCAGCACTCTCCCTGTCCCCCTGTAGATTCTTCATTGAGACTGTTATTAAGCACACCCTTTGTAAAAACCAGCGTTTTTTGCCAATGATCTACAGGCAGCTTCCTGAGAGCAGCTCTGCTTCTCTCTCCTCTCCTACTTACTTGTGATCTAATTTGAGTATAAGCACTTTGTTCTTTATATACTGCAGGAAGAGATTTTGAGAAAGATTGTTAAACATCTTGCTGTTGCAAGACTGACCTCTGCTGAGAAATAGGCTGGATTTGAAAATAAAATTCATTTCAATGAATTCAGCAGTTCAAAATGGACCTGTTTCTGGTGGCTTGTATAAAGGTAAAGAACTTTAGCCAGACTGTAGACTGAATAAGGGGCCCATTTCACATGTAGTAGAAACAGGCCTTCCTTTCGGATTCTGAAGATGAGTGGTAGGGGATGTGGTGGAGAAACCAAGGGACTAAGACAGTGGCACATGTTAATTTAGCCTTATGTGTGAAGATAACTTTTTTTTTTACTGTGGGTAAACATTTTTTAAAAGTTTAAAACCTGCCTTAGATTGGGGCTGTGGTTATTGCTACTGCCTGCAGTGGCTCATGTGAGTGCAAACTTACCTACAGTTGGTCTCAAGGGCTAGCACTCCTCACAGCACTACTGCTCCTTCTAAGAAGTACATTGTGTATTTCCCTAAATCTTGTATATGTGGACTTGATGTGGGGAAGGAAAAAGAAAAGAAATTGTTTGTATAGTTTGCAATGGTTCTAAATGGTACTTCAAACCTTGATTATTCCTAAATAAAATACATAAAACCATCATCTCACATTCACAGATGTGTTTCTATGAAGGGAGTCCGAATTTCTAGTTAAGGTGGTTGCTGGCAGATGATCCAACCCAACTCACATCAACTCTGTTGTGCTGGTTTCTATGTGTAATTGCAACATTTGACTTCAGCCAAAGGCTTTGGAGTTAGTTAATAAACTAGGTCAAACTGTGCCAAGCCCATTCATAGCATCATGTAATTGACGTGGAATACTGGCATATGGAAGCTGAAAGGGGCCTTGATTTAGTCCAAACCACTGCCTCCATGTTACTTTTCCCAATCATATAGCATTAGTAACTGCTGCCCAAGCAGATTTTGCCAATCCCCATAGTTTAAATGATTTTTTAAAAGGATGGAGTAGGGCAGCTATGTGGAACAGTGGATAGAGCACCAGCCCTGAAGTCAGGAGGACCCGAGTTCAAATTCGGCCTCAAACCAAACACTTGACATTTACTAGCTGTGTGACTCTGGGCAAGTCAACCCCAATTGCCTAAAAAAAATTTTTAAAAGGAGTAAAAGCTTATGTTTAAACATCATCTGCCAGAACGTCCATCTTTCCTTTCCAAAGGAAAGCCTTTATTCCATCTATATCCTAATGCCCTCATGCCAAGTTGAGTTGCCTTAATCACAAACTAGACATGAAATTGCTTCTTTTGTTGAAAGAGTATAAATTAAAGTCTGAGTAGTACATAAAGAGTCCATTCCTGTTTAAGTTCCTAAGGCCAATGTTAAAAAATAGCTTCGCTTTATTCCTCTTAGTACTGGTGCTACAGAGGAAAGTCTTCTTGCCCACCTCAAACCCTCCAAAGTATCTTTTATACCTCATGGGTATAACAACCAAATTAGTCTTGCAGTGAATAAAAACAGCAGCAGTTGAAAGGGGAATGATACAACCACTGCAGAACCAGTCTTCCATGATATGCCAGGAGTCTGGTTGTGAAAATGTAGCTATTGCTTTAGGGAATGGATCCAGCTGAGTGTCCCTCATGAAAAGTGACCCAAGGATTCACTGAATTGGCTGAAATGATGAGCTCAAGTTGAGGATAAAAGGATTGTGTCCCAAGTCTCTGGGCTCGGTTGGGCTTCTCTTAATTTTGCTAACTAACCATGTTATCTAAAGTAATGTGGAGGTTATTACTGAATGAAAAGGTTCTTAAATTTTTAACTTAGAATTGGGATATTTTCTCTTCAGAAACATCAAAATATTCTAGTAAAAGACAAGTTATACAAGTTCAACCATTACTTGAGAAGCTCAATAGAAATGACTTCATCTCATCCCTTTGACAAAATATGTACTATAAAGAAAGCTTGCTAATAAACTGAGGTATTTATTCATAAAAACTAAACTTGTCAGAATAAATGAACAAAGTACATTTTGTAATGAAGTAGATTTGACAATGGTATGTGCCACTGTTCATCCTTGCCATTTACTAATCAGGAAAAGCTCTCTCATGGCATCAAGATGTTACCATTTTTCTAATATTAAAAACCAAAACGATAAAATGGAAAACAGGAATCAAGGAATTTAAAAACCCAAAGTTGATTCCAATGGGAACTGACTCCTTTACAGTAATACATACTATGAGGTTGGATTATGTTGCCATAAGGTGGCCTTGGCCTTCTTTTTATGGGAACAGTGGGAAGGATCATACTTCCTGATGCCTACGTAGTTCATTTAATGCCCCCAGGAAGTAACATCAAGTACAAAGTTTTTTGTACTAAATCCCACCTATGAACAACTACTAAGAGTACTCTTCCCCTTCAAGTGGGCTGGACCATGTTAGCATATACTTTCTAATAGAGCCCTGAGGGAAAAAGAGGAGAGGGCTGACACAGATGCCCAACGTCTTCCTCATGCTTTCAGCTCAGTGATTTTTTTAAGTACTCCCAATTACTTCTTTTTTCCTCCTCATGATCCTTGGCACAAGTTACTAAGTACTTTTTTTGGTTTTGTTTGGGAGAACAGGGTAGGGATGGCATTAAGAACCAACTGAGTATACACTTCTCTTTGAGTTTCAATAAAACTTACACGTAAATCAGACATTTTCTTTAAAATGCTCCTTTGGGCTGGCATTTTACATAGCCTGGACTTCAAAATGTTTTTCTTTATGGTACCAATTTTTATGCTATCTCTGGTTAACTATAATAAAAATCTCTCTCCGGACAGGCTTCTTTTCTCTTTAGACACTCCCTATTCCTGCAGAATATGTATACCTTAGGCTCTAGGAATTCATTCTACATTGACTATTTGAAATCAGCACGAGTCTGCCTAGGCTTATAGGTAAACTGCTGAAATGGGAGATAGTTTATATGAAATACTTGCTCAGCAGCAGTCTGGCCAGGAATAGACAGGTTTGCTTTCAGAGCAGCTTGGGGTCTTCTGAGGACAAGCTTGGGGGGAACAGGGAAGGTGACAACAGTTTATTAAATTTCTTTACAAACTGACAGAGGATATACCTATTGGGTTGCTGGCCTTGCGGGAAAAGCTTGTCTGAATGGAAGTTTTGAAACAAGGAAATGGAACCCTCCCTGCCTAACTGCTCTCTCTCCCCACCCCTTTAAGGGGATAAAAACAGGCAAAAAGGAGTTGTAGCATCTGGTCTTTGATGATACAGGGTGTCCCAAAAGTCTTAGTGTAACTATACCACTGTACCACTAAAGCTTTTGGAACACCCTGTATTTCCAGTTTATCTGGTAACATCTTTGCTTACTGCATAGGCTGAGTATAGGTGACTAAGTGCTAAGAATTTCCCAGCCCTCCTTGCCCCCATAAAGAATACACCAATGGGGGGGGAGAAATCACATGAAGCCTTTTTATTTGGCAATCAGGTCTTGAGGGCCTAAAACCGGGGGTGGCAGGTTTGCCTGTGCTGAAGGAAGGCGGCTGAGGCCCAGCTCCCTGTGAGCCCCAGCCCCAGGGCAGGCACTGATTTCTCACGCCCAGGACATGAGACACCAGTCGTAGGTTCTATAGTGTCTATTCTCCCAACCAAAGTAAGTCTGTCTCTCCTAGTCAGGTCTAAAGGCAGGCTTTCTCCTAGGGGCCAGAGGGTCAGTCATTCCAGGTAGGTACAAAAGCCACGTAGTATCCAAGTTGCTGGTTCAACCTTACAGATGTCTTCCTGACCATTCAACACGAGACATAGGAATTTCCCATTTTCCCTTGCTCTTTATGAATACAACTTCTTATTCCCTTTTCATGCCTAAAAAACTTAAAGAGTCCTAAAATGTGCCCTCTTTCCCTTAAAAAAATTTTTTAAAAGTCAGCTATTCTCCTCCCCTGCCACAAACACTAAGTCACTAGCTTGAAGGTCCACCAACCAGCCACTTCTGAGCATCTCAGCTGGTGCAAGGCTCAGCTCAGGAAGCTGCACGTGGGTGGCTGGCAGTGGTCTTTTTTTTTTTAAATGCCACCTGCTTTGGGGGTTCACCTGTGATGACAGGAACAGAATGGGGAGGAGTAAATAACTTAGTTACAATACAATTTAGAAGAAAAAATAATACTGCTGTTTGTAACACATTTTAACTTCAGGAGAGCATTCCATCCTGAAAGGGGGTTAGTGTTCCAGGGCCATATTGCTGTGTCTGCAATCCTGCCTTTCTTGCCCCATTCACTAAGTAAAATATTCAGCATAGACACCCCTACGGGGTTTCAGGTCTGACTGACAAGGCAGCCTTCAAGCCAGGGCCTGGATCAGCCAAGGGACAAACCACTCAGGAACATTAGCCCTCTCACGCTGTTCATTTGTGGTTTTAAAGCTACAGGAGGATGTAAACTTTGTTCTTGGGGGTTCATCTTTGTAGGTCCCTTAGGGAAACAGCAAAGGCAGCAGTCAGCCCCTTGATCATGCTCAGGAATCTGTCCGTAGCTCCTCAGAGCCCCATGCACTCTGTTGGGTGGGATAGGTGACTGACAAGTCCAACTCTCCCTGTGAGTGAAGGAGCTGAGACAAGGGCCCTGTCCTTTCCAGGAGAGGTGAGATGAGAGCACCAGTCTCTGGGGAGTTGGGACAAGATGTTTGTGCTCAATGCCAGGCATGGTATACAGTCTTCTTGCCTTTACCCTGGACAAGAGTGAACAGACTCAGGACAGTAAAACAGCTGAACAATGGCTTGGTTTTTGTGTAACGTATCTCTACCAGAACATCGGGCTGCAGGCAGAGAACCCAAGAGGGCTGCCTGAAGGAAGGGCCAGAGCAGTGTTGTCTCCACAGAAACCAGTTCACAGAATTCCACAAGGCATCTGCTGCTAAAACCCACATAATTCTCAAAGGCCAGTGTGGTTGAGTCTAGAGGCGGTTGTCTCCATTGATACGAGTTCTCCGAAGTGCCCTAGAGGGAGAGAAGCAAAGGTCCTGACTGGGACAGAGGACCCCCCTGAGGTGAAGCCACCCCCTAAGAGATATGCTGAGGGTAGACAAGAGCTGGCGACACAGATGTAAGACAACTCATTCCCAGAAAAAAAAGAAAAAAACCACTTGAGAAGGGCATAAATCCTAGAGCAGAGTCCCATTTGTGGCTTGGGCGGAGACCCTGAGTAGTATAGTAACAGCAAGGACACTGGAGATTCTGCCTTACCCACTTAAAATCTGAGTGGCCCAAGCAAGCCATATAATTCTTGTATAAGGTTGGACTAAGCCACATGCAGCTTAGCACTATCTAGTACAGAGTAACTGCTTAATAAATGCTTGTTGGCTTGACTTGATGATCCAGAAGTCCCTTCTGGCTCTAGTTCTATGATTTTGATTTGTGGGATCTACCAAGGTGGTACTCTGCCATAAAATGGCATAGTCATCAGACATAGCTGTTCTAACTGGCTGATTATTTGAATAACAGGTTCACCATCACCCTAAGCTCTGCTCTCAGACCTTTTTCTGAATATAAACTGTGAGTACGTGGTGACCTGAGCTTCAAGCACAGGCAAACACATGTGTGTACTCTGGCACAGCTCAATTTTAGCAAAAAGGTAGATGGATATATACTGGCATGTGGCCC